TTTAAAAAGAAATGATTTCTATTTGGTATGTAATTTTTTCATTATTTCATTGAGGCGGTAGCCAGAAAACAGGCTCATAGGTCTGTGGACTCTTCTATCGGAGATCTATCCATTAGCTGCATTTGTCAGTTATCTGAAAGTGTCTCAAGTTTGGTGATTTCAGATTGTGTGTCAACGACACAACAATCAGCTGTGTTATAATATAATAATTTTAAGCCTCTTGAAAACAAGAAAATAAATTAATAAAACCTCATACTTACCATCTGTGGCTAGTTCTTCGGCTATTTCCTTCCACAAACTGCTGATGAAATTGCGGTCTCTATGTTTTGCCTCTTGTGGATCATAAATTTCACGCCGATCGCGCACCAACAAAATAAGATGTTCTACATCCATGATTAATACTCAAAGTCGTTCGACATTCACGGTATCAGCACGACAGATGACGGGCCAAGACTGAAGAATAATTCAACCTCCTGAGTCACGGACTTGACGCTGTATGACTGGACGGGACTGAGCTGGACGGGACTGGTTCGGTGTGAAAGCGCATGATCAGTCCCGATAACAAATGCATTTGTTTGACCGTGTGTTGAATCCGAGAGCGTCAGACTCGACTGGACTGGACGTGACGGGACTGGCTTGGTGTGAAATGGGCCTTACGGTGCGTGCACACCGAGCGCGTGTTGCGTGAAGTGCTATGCATAGCGCTATGCTTGCTTCCTGTTCATACCGAATTCTTAACGTTATGCAGTCGCGAGAATGCCGTTATCGAAGTTCGCAAGGAAGATTTTACTGATGGAAAACAGTGTCTTAAAATTGAAACATAGGAAGAGGAGTCGTAATTGGGTTCATGAATTTAATGAAGAACGAATTAGTTTGGGAGAATTGTACCATTTGTAAAGAGATGCAAGACTTTATCATGATAAATTTTATAATTACTTAAGAATGACAAAAAATACCTTTGACATGCTCTTGGAGAAGTTAGAAAATCATCTTGGCGGACCTGGTACTAACTACAGACAGAAGATATCCCCTGAACAACGGCTAGTTTTAACAGTTGCACCGCGCCCTTCGTCTTCCTCTCCTCTTTTAACTATTATATTATTATTATTACGAAGAGGAAGGGCACAGCGCAATCGTTCCTGGCTCTATTGTCGGTTCGCACGCTCCCCTAGATGGAGATGGGGTATCCAAGCTAGGAGGAGGAAGCTACACTCAGTTCAGTGGCTAAGATAAAACAAATACAATTTTAATAGCAAAATATACAGTACATAAATAACAAAAGAACACTTTGACCAAAAAAAAAAGAACAGACAACCAAGTTCGCGTCGGCACCCCTTGTGTCGATGCTAGAAATATCAGGCCATACAGATGCAAGTCTAAATTCTGAGACAAAATAAAACCCCAAACCAAAATTTAATACGCGCGTCGCAAGCGTTCTCCCTTTCACAAGAGGGTACATGGGACCACGTGACTGACGTCAGGGTACCGCATGGTGGGGATGGAATCCGTCACAGGAAGGATGATGACCTCATCGTGAGCGGGCTAAGGCTTAGCACGGCTCACAGTGAGGTTAGTATACAAATAATAATTAAAAATGGAATCACAGCGTAGATTTCATACAAAAAATGACGTAATAATAAGGGTAATAATTAATTATTAATGGTGATACAAGCAATGCAATAACAATGCAATGCACTTAACACTGGTAGCAAAATAACACGGAAACCATACTACTTTAAGGCAATGAATCTTGATGAGTAAATAATGAAAATGTTGGCTGGTTAGATGCTTGAGGTGGTACCACGAAACTCATTTCAACTGGTGTATTCTGTCGTTCGTTATCTTCAATCTCCCCAACAACGAGTTCATGTATTTTCAGTCTCAAACGACGTTTTCGCCAGGGAGGCAGGGTTTTCATGTCCGGCAACAAACTTTTAAAAAAGAGGAGATCATCATCTTCTTCCCGTTCCGCTTCTTTCACCAACAAGTCCAATTTCATTTTTTCAACACTCAGCAATTCATCCTCTTGTGTTTTCTTTTGCCTTTTAACACGTGAAGACGAACAAGATGAGTTGCTTCGTGGCATAGAGTCTTCACTCTGTGGTAACGGTATTATTTCCTGTCCAGTTGAGTCTTCGGATATTCCTTCCTGGCTTCCGTCAGGTTCGGGTCCTTCTTGTAGACTTGATTCGACTTTGTCAGAAGTCGAAACATCTTTAATGAAGAGCATCGCGTCAAAATATTGCCACGATGACCCCTTCGGTGCATCATCGGCTCCTGCTCCAGATCTCGGATGATTCAGTTTTTTGCACTCTCGATGGAAGTAATCTCTGAGATATTTCCATTTGGCTTTCACAGTTTTAACTGAAATATAAACAAAGAATTAGCCTGAATGAGAAACTGAGTAATTGTACTGATTTTTCAATGTACACAATTATGAAAAATGTGACTTACAGATGTATATTTATTAAAACGATTCTAAATATATTTCTAATTCATTGAAGCTAGTTGCTATTTCTTTCAGATATCTTGCCACTGGAGAGTCATTTCATTCTTTGGCGCTTCACTTTCGACTGGGCGTGTCGACAGTTTCTCAAATTATTAAACAGACTTGTATCACAATATGGAATGTTTTACGAGCGACATACCTGCCAACCCCTACAACTGAAATGTGGCGACAAGTAGCAGAAAAATATTGGGAGAAATGGAATTTTCCCAATTGTCTAGGAGCACTGGACGGTAAACACGTCAAAATTAAATGTCCGGCTAAATCCGGCTCTTTATATTATAATTATAAACAATATTTTTCAATATTGTTACAAGCTCTTGTTGATGCAGATTGCAAGCTGTTGGCTGTTGATATTGGGGCTGTTGGACGTCAAAGTGATGGAGGGAATTTTAGAACTACCTCGTTATACAAATTATTGGAAAACAGCAAACTAAATATTCCAGCAGCAAGAGAACTCCCACAGACACAGGAGATCACTCCTTTTGTCATGGTCGGTGATGAAGCATACCCTCTTTTACAGTACTTGATGAGACCATATCCCAAAAGAATTTTGGACAATCGGAAACGTATTTATAATTATCGGCTCTCAAGGGCAAGAAGAAGTGTAGAATGCGCCTTTGATATTATGTGCAGCAAGTGGCGAGTTTTGCTGAAAGCAATAGAAACTGATGTCTCAAATGCAAGTAATATTGTGAAAGCTATTTGCGTCCTTCACAACTTCATTTTAACCCACGAACCCTTCCAAACAGAAAATAATGATGATAACCTGATTACACAACTTGGTGATACATTACGGCCTCATACACCAACACAGTGCCGTTCTTCAGAAAGAGCTAAAAACATCCGAGAAACTTTCTGCGATTTCTTTAATGGCACTGGATCAGTACCTTGGCAGAATAATTACATTTAGCAGATACATTTAAGTATGAGGATAGAAGTAATACTATATGTTTACTGTATCTGTATGAATATAATATAAAACTTACCATCTTTGCCAACTGTTGTAGAGCCTTCAATCCACTTCTTCTGCAAAACAGTTACATTTTTGTGGTTACTGTGTCTTTGGTTCCATATTTCTTCTCTTTGAAATACTGCATTAATAATTTCTT